AGCGATACTGTAACACTCTGGATGTCAAAGCCAGGAGGGAAACGTCAGAGGTCAGAGTGCATTATATATGGTGCCTTTCTCATTTCCCAAGTGCCTCCTGCTCCGAGGTGCATTTTAGGAACTGAGATGTTCTTCAAGATGCACTGAGATCAATTTCCAGGTCACAGGCTGGGCATCGAGGAGGCCCTCGTCTGTTCAGACATGTTTTACTTATTTATCAGGGTTGATGAACCTGAATAATCCAGTGTTCATATTTAGATGCAAATTAGCACATATTTCATTAGATACTGCCTCATTTGCTTATTTAGACATAATATTTTCTACCCTATTCACTTCACGCAGTGTCTCGCCTTAAACAAATGAGCTGATTATTTGTTTTAAACCATCTGTTTTTTTCATGTAGTTTGGTTTTTATTCCACCTTAAATTTACTTTTATTCTTAAATATTTGTAGCGCTGCTGACTTAGTGCTGCTGCCTGTTTTTAGTATTTTCTTTGTAAAAAAATGTTAAAAACACGCCTGTCGCTGTTGAGAAAGTCCAAGATGATGTCATCTAAACACTTGTTTTGTCCAATCAAAACTTCAAACTTCGATGGATCAGGCTTAGTTGCCATCACACGCCCTCAGTATGGCACTTGAGTCACATGATAACAGGTGGTTGTCTTCAGGTGGTAACATCTGTCTCTGTTCACAGACGCTCTCTGGGTTGAACCGCTGTGGTTTGATCCAGTGAATAGTCAGGAGCGAGAGGCGCTGAATAAACGGGACTACAAAAACACTACAGACGACATTTGTTCTTGTGAAAGTCGGACTGAATCAAATATTATTGTGATTGTGATGAGATTTGTGTGTCCTGGCCTGCTGCAGCATCATCGGCTCTCTGGGCCAGTGGAGATGGTCAAGAAGGAGTGAGGTTGGATTAATGGACTTTGGAACCTCAGGCCCCAACTCGTCCCTTTCCGTAACTGTCGTCAGCAGGAAAACACGTTCCGCCTCGCTTTTAGGAGGTTGAGGAGGTAAATTTGTGTCTCCTCCCCTGTCAGAACGCACAACCTCATAATCCATGTGGCCCACTCGCCGTGTGACTGCCAGGGGTTCTACCACCTGGTGAGTAATTTAGAGGTGGAATAATACAAGCACCTTATCTCCAGATGCAAACTGGCTTAACCTAGTTCCTCTGTTGTAGAGACGCTGCGGACGCCCTGAGCAAATTCTCCCATGACGACCGGCCTAATGTGTGGAGCTTTGCTCTGATGTTTTCTTTCTGGAAATTACAACCTGAAAGTCGTGAACTCTGACCCTGCACATTTTCTCAAAAGGAGACATTAACAGAAGCAGAGAGTTTTGGCGGTTGTGCTTCTACCATGAGTAAGTCGGCTGCAGAGTAAATGCTTTCTTTTTGTCTCTTCACGATCAGGACTCAGCACAGGCTGTTTCATACTGAAGAATAAAGCGGAGACCCTGAAGCGGTCGATCAGCTCGTCCACATCTGTGAAGTTAATGGAACATTATCATATGATTTGAATGTGTTATTATAGATTAAACATGTTTTATCAGTTCATAAATAAAGTGCATCTGTTCTGTCTGCATATGTAGAACCAAGGGAGTCTCATGCGGCCTTTGTGATGAAGGTGAACAACCTGAACAACTTGTGTCCGAGAAGGAGAAGGAAGAAGTCAACATTATCAAGGGTCCAGTTCATTATACCAAAAATAAAGAAAACATATTTCCGCTCTCGGTTACTGTATCAAAAAACAAGAGAACCGGTTTATACCAGTAAATATATGAAAATACAAGCCAGGAGTTATAGAGCAGCTGTAACATTATCAGAATCATCAGAATCAGAACACTTTATTGATCCCAGAGGGGAAATTCTTTGTTTCAGATACTCGCATGGCTCAAAGAAATAGATATTAATCATGAAAGCACAATATCAGGATAACATTAGAAGAAACACCAAACAAACTGGGAACCAAGGGAAAATTGTTAGCAACCGTAGTTGAATACATTTTTAATATTGTGCATTTATTCACGTACACAGCAAGAGTCCCGTTTAAAGAGCGCATTGTTGGTGCAGCACAGTTACTTAGATAGTTTAACCTCAGTCATTTCTGTGTGTGCAGAGTTGTTACTGTCAGCACTGATTTAATTTGGTTTCCACTCTAAAGGCTGTTGTTTGAGTGAAATGTTTCCCTTCTCTACCAGCAGGTGGCAGCACGAGTGTATTTAAAGGTTTGACTGGTTTGTGTGTTCAACTGTTTTTAAACCTGGTTATTGATCCAGATCTATTTAATGCTGTTAATTTCATTTGTTGTTTGATGTTTGTGGTTTATTTGCAACCTGGTTATTTAAAGTATACTTTGTTTTTATATATCTTTTCACAACCATAAAAATAAGTATATGATTCCCAGCAATCTTTTTCTTCTTTAAACATGTTTCCATGTTATTGTTGTTTGAAGAAGTGTGTCTATATTAAGAGTTTTTTTCACCACTTCACAACCCTTTGCTACACACAGTGTCACACAGGACACATGCCAGTAAAAGACATTTCAACCAGTCACTGATGGAAACAACTAAAAACTGTACAGTAGGCCAATAGTTACAAGGATCAGTTTTTGTTCTCATGACTTTCCCTTCACGTCATTCAGTGAGGCTGCCGCATCTTTTCCAGGTTTCTCCAGGTAGGCTCCAGGTGATTGTCTCCAATACTTTACAGGTTTGTTGTGCTGTGAGATGAAACATAAATCAAATCGGTATCTTTAAGGTTTGTTCAAATAGGCGATGGGCCGAGGCCAAGTATCTGCTTTAGTTGTTAGTTGAGCAGACATATCCTGCCTTTCTCCTCCTCTTGAGGGTCTTAGGGTCAGACCCACCTCCTCCACCTCCACATCCACACATAGTCAATATTGAAACAATAGTGTATTCTACCCTACAACACGTCTAAAGACTGAAATGTGACACTAATAAGACAAATTACTGCAAATGCATAAAACTACATCAACACAAGCACTCCAAGTTTATGTGCCGTGTCACACGATGACCTTCACATTCCTCACAGCTGCAGTCTTCTTTGCAGGGGCCCCTTGCAATCACCTTATTCTACTTTTATCAACGGAAAGCCTGTACAATCTGTCAAACACAACCCTGACCCCTCTTTTGAACTGCCTCCCACTACTCACTAAAATCAAGACCTACATTTTTATTTGTACATAAAAACATTACGTTTTTAAACAGGTAAGGCATTTAGCCCGGAGGCTCAGCTGCTCTGCCTAATCTGTAGCAAGGTGAGGGGTGTGTGTTTCAGTCTGCCTGCTGGTTGTCTCTGTGCCGTGTGATGAAATGCCATGTGATTGTGCTGCAAACTAACTTTCCTACGGGGACAAATATATTGATTGATACACTGTTTAATTATGTTACTGTACATTAACCAACAAATGTTCTACTCTGCATCCTTACCAGAAACCCAGATTTGCACTCTCCATTCTCTAACCCTGTCCTCTTCTCTTCTCTCTATAATATCTGTGTAACTCCTCTACATGTTGTAAGATATAGCAGGACTGCACTCATCTGTAAAAACACTATTTCTGCACTCCTGGTTAGATGCAAACTGCATTTCAGTAGCTCTGTACCTCTAAAGATCCGCCCCCCTTCAAACAGCTGGTACTCCCATCACTACAGAGTCTGCACGAGCAGCGCATGCTCCTGGGTCCAGTCTGATAGAGACGAGATGGCGGCAGCAGCGTCTAAGAGGATGAGCGTCCGACAGAGAGTTCCTGCTAAGAGCGACCGGGACCGGACCAGCCAGGAAGTCAGCACCGGGGTGAGTACCTGGCTCTGGGACCAGTGTGACAGTTTAATTGGTTGCCACATGAACTGGGGATGTTACTGCAGAAGTTCATGCGGTCGCTCTGATTTGTGCCCTGGTGGTTTTTAATCTGTGTGTGTGCTGACATCCAGCCTGTACGGGCAACAGGATGAGGGATTTGTTGAGTCCAGATCGCCGTTGAGTCAGGACGCTGAAGTTAGCTTCCAGTTCTGCACTTAAGGGAAAGTTAACTTACTGCTGAGCTTTTGCTCCTCTTGTTGTGAAAGCTGTCAGACATTTTAAGTTTTAACTCTGTCTGAAAATCCAAAAAAGAAACTTCCCCATCGTAGGACTACTAGGAAAAGATGTGAGTCCGGCTGGACCTGCTGGGACTTTGTAAACAAATCTGAGGCGCTAAATCTGTACTGTCAGTGTGTTTTCTATAGAGAGCAAAACATAGTGAGGGCTACATGGAAAGGAGGGCAGAAGAAGGAAGGAAAGATACAGAAAGACAGAGAGAAGCAAACTGAGACAAACATTTGGAAGGTTTAGTAGTTAAAGGACTGCAGCCCCAAGTTGTAGCAGTATCTTGGAGCTGAATTTTTCTCTTTAGTGTTTATTCAGAATATTTAATAATTCACAGACTCAGCTTTAAGATTTCTTTATTGACTGTTCTGCAGAATGAAGTGATGCAGTCCTGAAAATCAAGCTCTTCACAGTCCTCCCAAAGCACACTCTGTACTGCCCTCCCTTTCCAGGACGTCCTCTCCATATTTGGTCCAGTCCAGTCAGTATCTCTGAACCTACAATGAATCACTCTGAGAACTTGGCCGGAAAAGTAGTTTAGTGCACATTCCAACGAGATCGCTTCATCCTGTTCCTCACATGTTGGCCAGAGTCCAAGGAAACCCAACCTAACAGAAAAACATCTGGTTTCTAGTTTTTCAGAAGTCAGTACGTGTGTGTGTGTGTGTTTGCTTTAACGCTAAATCAAAGTACCTCTTATCTGCATGAAAATATGACAACAAAAGTACAAACACACATATTCTACAGCTGTAATCATATCTTAACTAAACCTTATCTCTAAATATGAATTCTGCCTTCTGAACCTTGTGGGTTCACTTTCTCTGTCTGTGTCACACAGAGAGACTGACCTGGATTTATCCTCCATACTTGCTGCACCATTACATCTCACTCACCGTCTTTCTCTCTGTATGTCTGTTATTATAGAAACAGAGAGGAAGAGATGGACTTAAACAACACCACTGTGACAAATCCTTCAGAACATCTGGACAGTCAAAGAATCATCGGAGAGTTCACACTGGAGAGAAACCGTACAGCTGTGACCAGTGTGGGAAGGTTTTCTCTACTTTAAGTAATCTAAAAAGTCACAAATATGTTCACATGGGGGAGAAACCTACAGCTGTGACATGTGGGAAATTTCACTCATTGGGCTAAAAATTCACATGCGCACTCACACTGGAGAGAAACCGTACGGTGTGAACAGCGTGGGAAAACATTTACTCACAGTAAAACCCTGAAACGGCACCAATGCGGTCACGCTGCATCGCTGTAAACATTTTTCAGAGCCAAGCTAGCTCTTGCCTGCTGCCTCCTCCTCATGCTGTGTTATATTGTGAGCTTCTCTTTAAACTGAGAGATAGACAACAGTAACTTTATATTCTGAGCAGCATGTGCGTTAATGTGTTAACTGTTTCTACTGATGTTATTATGAATTCGTAAACAAGTGTCAATGAACTGAATTTTTGTACATTTTTAATACACTTCAGATCTCAAACCTGTAAAATAATATTTAAAACTCACCGTTCAGCTGCTGGCACTATTCCACTAGCACTGCGAGGAAGAAGTGCTTCCTTACCGTCCATTAATCTGCCAAGTGCTCATAATATCACTTGGTAAATAAAATGTAGGGACTTTAGGAGCCGTCAGCCCTTCCTCTCTGATCTCTCTGGGACGTCCCAGATGACCACTCTCTCTCTGGGGAAGTCGGATATGAAACTCAGCAGAAGGACATAAATCCTTGAGATGAGTTTTATTAACCCAAGTGTAAATAAATGTACAGTCACTGGTTCAGTAATAATCTCACTTGATTGCTTTTTGATGGTTGGCGCAATTCTGATGATTTTCGCATAAAGTTTTAGGTAATCAGAAGTTAGAAGTTTAACAGTTAATGGGATTCTTGTCATCACTGCGTTTCTGTTGTTTTGTGTAAGATGAGTTAGTATATGTGTGATCAAACTAAGTGTTGAATCTGCTACCATTTTATTAGTAGTGTTGAATTTATGCTTCTGATAGTTAAGTGGTTAGGAAGCTTATTATTAACTGTGTTTGAAATCTAAGTTAGGTTTATATAACATGTCTGTGATGGATGCTCGACGTCAACCCTGTTTTTATGATGTGACTGTGCGAGACATGTTAAATTATATAGTTCCATAACGTAGAAGAAACCACAAAGAAAGATGATTAGTTACGAGGCGTAAAACAGTTTGAGTGTGAAAACCTTTCCTCCTCCTCCAATACGCACCCTATCTGATGGTGGTCCGGCCTCTTTCACCTATGTTTCTTTACCACTACATTACTCTTCTACAATAATAATAATAATAATAATAATAATAATCTTTATTTGTAGAGCACAAGTGTAAAGACAATAATACCCAAAAGACAATAATGCAAAAAACAAATCAAGAAAACATTGAAAAGACTAAAATATAAAATAAGTAAAATAATAAAATAAAAGGGATAAAATAAAGTCAAATAAGATCGGGAAAGGCTCTCCTATAAAAGTATGTTTTAAGAAGGGACTTAAAAGAGTTCACTGACTCAGCCGACCTGATTTCCTCGGGCAGGCTGTTCCAGAGCCTCGGGGCCCTGACAGCAAACGCTCTGTCCCCTTTAGTTTTCAGTCGAGACTCTGGAACAGGCAACAGACCTCTGCCCGAGGATCTCAAGGTACGTGCTGGTGCGTATGGGACTAAAAGGTCAGAAATATAACAAGGCGAGAGGCCATGAAGAGCTTTAAAAGTGATCAATAGAATTTTAAAGTCAATTCTAAAATAGGAGTAATGTGGTCATATTTCTTTGTTCTGGTTAAAAGCCTGGCAGCTGAGTTCTGGACAGTCTGGAGTCCATCAATAGATTTTTGGGTTAAACAGGTGAAAAGGCTGTTGCAATAATCCAGGCGTGATGAGATGAAGGCGTGTAAAATGGTCTCGGTGTCCTTAAAAGTTAACATAGATCGAATTTTTCTATATTTCTAAGTTGATAAAAACATGATTGAACAAGCTTTGTGGTGTGCTGCTCGAAATTTAAATTACTATCAAACCAAACACCAAGGTTCTTTGCCACAGGCTTAATGTGATTTACTAGGGAACCAGCAGATGGCAGTATTTGATTTGCCATCTGCTGGGACCCGATGACCAGGATTTCTGTTTAGTCTGAGTTCAGCTGGAGGAAATTATTTGACATCCATTTTTTTACTTCACAAAGGCAGTTGTTAAGTGAACTCAGCATTCCAGGGTCTGTGGATCTGACGGGCAAGTATATTTGTGTGTCATCAGCATAAATATGAAAAGAAATGCCATGTTTGTGGATAATATGTCCAAGGGGAAGCAGATACAAGGAAAGAAGATACAAGGAAAGCAGATACAAGTCTGCATTATTATTCCATGGTCTGCCCACGTCATCTCCGGAGTTTTTTTTGTCAACACGTCATATAACCCTTATTAAAACCTAATTTACTGGCTTTATTCACTTGTTAAAAACATTTAGTTATAAATAAAATTTTCCTTTATCACCAAGTCTTTGTCTGTGAATATTTCTTAAGGATAAATATATTGGGAATTCACAACTCAGGTAATAAAACTTATTAATCTGCTTTCTCTCATTGTTCCTGTGATTGAAGGTGTTGTCCCAAAAGATGTTAGGAGTGCAAATATTCCATCTAAAGTAGTAGTCCTGCTATCTACATTTTTGTTTTCTATTACTGAAGATGATTTGGAATCCTTCTTTGTTCAGACTGAAAGCAATGCCAAATGTAATCGATGCAAAGAAACAAAGCTTTTTGCACCAGCTGAGGTGAAGACAGGTCAGCTCAAGTGTTAATGTTGCAGCTTCAACAAAAATCTTTATTCTCAACGAATCAAGTTAATGTAATGTAATGTATAAAGGTTTCAGACATTTTTGGCGCTCATTACTTTTGGAGATGACACTTGTAGCTTGTTAGCTTTTCTTTGCCAGTGTGTGTTGAAAGAGTGAGTGCTCAAGTTCAGCATACCACATTATAGTTTAGGTTCACTTACCTGTGACCATTAAAATCCTTAAGCGTGCGACGTGAAGTGCATGGTGCAGGTCCCTGTGTAGTTTTTCTGAATCCACTTTTGCTAGTTTACAGGGTTTGCTAGAGAACATGGTTCAAAAGATTTGTACGTAGTCTCTAATCATGGGTGTGTTTTGGGGCGTCACATGCAATAAACCAATCAGTGTCATCTCCCATTCCCTTTAAAAGCAGGTGAGCTTGTACCATGGTGCATTGCTATTTAAAGGAGACCTGTTATAATGCATTTCCAGTCCTATATTGTAGTTCTGTGACTCCTGTATGGCAGCTTTGCATGATTCAAAGTTCAAAAAAAGAATTTTCTATCTTATACTGGCCCTTCATGCAGGCCCTCATTTCAGCATCTGTCTGAAACAAGCTGTAGGTGCTCCTGTCTCTTTGAAGCAAAGCCTGTCTTCTGTCTTCTGGTTGGCCATTGTCTTATGTGTTTACCATGTGAAGGGATGGGGCTGCATGTTCCTTTGTGGGTGTGGTCAGCATTCTCTGCCTGGAGCAAATTACCATATTTACATTTACATTTTTTCATTTATTCATTTAGCTGATGCTTTTATCCAAAGCGACTTACAGCTGCTATACATGTCAGAGGTCGCACGCCTCTGGAGCAACGAGGGGTTAAGCGTCTTGCTCAGGGAGACATTGGTGGATGTCTCACAGTGGGAATCGAACCCAGGTCCCACACCAAAGGCAAGCATCTTATCTATGCGCCATCACCACCATCCGGCTCGGAATGACATCATATCGAGCCGTTTAAAACAGAACGTTCAGAACAAGAGGAAAATCTGAGGTTTTGTCTCACAGGGATTTCTTTTAAATACGTTTACCTCATTATTTGAAGCTTTGGTCATGTTTAACATGAATATGAACAGCTGCAATAAAAAATGTCCCGCTAATGTGTAGCTTTTTCAAAAAAGCAAGAAGTGAAGAGGAGGATGTCGAGCTAATCAGTGTTCAGCATCGTCTACCAGGGGCGCCCCCAGAAAATTTTCCCAGGGGTGGCCAGATGGGGCCACTGAAAATCCTGGGGGTGGCACACTAAACCAAAAGCCATAACTGAATTTCAGGATTTCTATTATGCAATATAGACTAGTTGAATACTACATAAAAATGTGAGTTAAGGAATCACAGACTGATATCCTTTGGATTCTTATACTAAAACCAGTTCAGTTAACATTCCATAAAAATCCTGTTTGATGTGTTATCTGTATATGTGTTAGGCAATTAATTGTTCTTTAAATATGCAAGTTAACCTTTTCCTTAAAAAGCATTTATTTGTAGGAGTGCAGTGATGGGGAGGAACAAAACATTTACTGGGAACAAGTCAACTCAAGATTACAGACATCATGGAGCATAAATATTTTTCTTTAAATTCAAATTGAAATATACAACGTGTGTCTGTATAGAGTTGTGTAATTATTTGTTAACATTTGTTAACAAGGATAGGTATTCTTGCAATATCCCACTTTTTAACAACCGATTTGACCAGTGTCATATTTATATGTAAAAATGGTGGTGGGGCACCGACCATTTCAAAAAGCAGTAGGAAAGTGGCTGTATGACAACATCATGACAACAACCGTAATCTGTAGCCAGGGGCCTGCACCGCGAAGCGAGTTCAACATACCCAGATATGTTTTCGTTATCTGGCTTAACTAACCTTAACAATCGCGATCGGAATAAGCGGTACCAAGAAGCTGGTTATCAACTCGGTAAGTCAACCCAGGGTTTCCCAATCCAGCCGGGAGCACGTTCACGTTCAAGAGGCGGTGTTAGCAGCAGATGACCAATCACAGACATGAACAAGTCCACTGGCAGCAGAGCGTCATATTCTATGAACGAGGATTAAACTGTAACACTACAGAAATGCGACAGTAGCACACCTGCATCTGACACATGCAGGGAGACAGAAAATCGCAGACAGTGTGAATGCCTAAATGAACAGGCGTGGTCTATAATATTGTGTTGATTTAAAGTGTTCTTATGAGCTGTATGAAAATATCAGCCTTATTCTTTCAGCTCGGCTGTGTCGGCGTTTCCACATTAAAAGACACGGGTCGTACCACCTCACTTTAAAAAAACCTGTCGTCACTTCAAAAATGAAATTAATTTATTTAACACACTCAAAGTGTCCAAACATTGTTCTAAATTAACTTCATAAAGCAATGTCTATGAAGATTCTCAGTCATCCAGGTCATAGTTATCCAACGAAGGTTAAAATCAAGGGCAACTGGACTTGGTTGAAGATACTGGAAGACGTTTCGTCCCTCATCCAAAGGACTTCTTCAGTTCTGACTGACTGGCAGGGAAACTCAGCTATTTAACCTCAGTGGGGTCGTTGGCCCGGGTCATCGATACCGCTGGTTCGTTAGTGTTCCTTGTTGCTGTGACGACAGTCGTTACAGTCGTTAAGACTACCTGTGGCCGAGACTGAACGACCATCGTTGGTATCTTCACCTGAGGCCAATAGGTTACGTTGTTGAGTTTCCTGGGAAGTGATGAAAGGACAGCATTGTAAGTGGGGGATAAGTGGTGGCGTAGACCCCCTCCTCTGTTCAATGACGGCTTCCTACAAGGAAGATGAATCTTTATCTAGGTCACATGCAGTGTTGGGCAACTTACTCAGAAATTGTAATATATCACTAGTTACTTATTACTCCTTAAAAAATATGATTACTTTACTTATTACTGGGTGATAAAAGTAACTAGTTACGTTTCTATATACTGTCCAGTGTTTCCCACAGAATGACAGGGTGGGGTTATATTCCAACAGGTTTGAGAAGCGGTGTTCATGAGAGAGAGAAAGAGCGAGCGAGCCTGGAGGTGCTGCACGAATATATGCTCCTCAATCAAAAATGATTTTAAATACACCTAATAAAAAAATGATTATAAAATCAATATGTGGCGGTCTGTGTTGATAATTATCCAAATTATAGGCTAATTATGGGAAACACAGCTTTCACTACCACCCCCCCTTCACCCCCAAACAAAGCGTCTCTGCCGACTTTTTAACTAATATCATATTCAACAGCAGCAAGGAGTGTGTTTTTTCTGTAAGTTTCACGTCGCTGTGCTGCTTCAGCAGACGCTTCAATAGATCAGATGTAGAAATGTTCGCTGTAGAAAGCTTTTTGCTGGTCGCACAGAGTTTACACTAGACCACAATGTTCTTTGCATCTTAGACTGTGACACAATAATGGCAGCAGCTACTTACAGCTGTGGAAAGAACGCCTCTCTCCCTCATTCTCCTTTCTTCCTTCAGCGACATGAACAACAAAGTCCGGTCCCGCTGAGCTGCAGCACAGTCGTGGATTCAAGTCAAGGATGGTGCGTTCAGTAACAGCGTTACTTGGATTAGTAACTGTAATAATTTTACTGTTTTAGAAAAGTAATTAGTTACACTACTTAGTTACTGGGACAAGTAATATTATTAACATGCCACTCAAATACAGACAGGAACTGTTATCTAGCTTTCACCTGTAGGCGTTTCCTGTCCATCTCTATGCACCAGTTCCTGTTTTATAAGTTCACTGAGAGTGTTAAACGCTTCTTCTTTATATTTATAGACAGGCTTGCAAAAGTTTAATATACTGAAGCATAGTACATTTTTCTAACAGTTGGACATGTTGGACATCAGGATAGGTTTGACAAAGTCTCTGTTGCAGAGAAGGTGGTGCACATTAAGTGTGTTATTAATCAAGACACACATTTACTGGTGGAAGCTCGACATAAATACACATTTTATTAAATGTTGCATGAACGACTTCAGCATCATATATTACAGCTCTGTCCCTTTCATCACTGCAGGTGTTCTGTCTTGTTTCCATGATAACAGAGTGATTACTTTGAGGTGAATCAATTGTTTGCATTTCCAAATGTACACTAACTGATTGTACACTGAGGTGCAGACAGCGAAGTGAAGTCCAAGGTGAGGAACATCACCTTTTTGCCCACTGAAGAACCTCTGTAGTTCAAGTAGAGTTGTTACAGTGTCTGCAGATGGTTCCTGTGTTTACTTTCATCGTCATTGGCAAAACAAAATACTTTTAATGGACGCACATTCCACCAAGGATTACGTTCCAGCCCATTTTGTGGCTTCCAAAGAGCTGAAGAGCTCACACTCAATGGTCCGGTATTGGGGTGCAAGTTGATGAGTACAAGGGTTTCTCTTTTGCAAGCATGTGTATTTTACTTTACACTTAACCTGCCGTAATGGCTACTTTTAATGTAGTGGTTTATCCCTCTACCAGCACTGTTTTGACTCTATCTAAAGCTACTAGAAACAATTTTTCAACCACCATCTATGATACAGTGACCTGCTGTTGAGAACTTGCACCTGAGCTTTCACAATAAGACAGATGAAGCTTAAAGATCTCTTTATTGCACCACCAAGTCAGCTGAGACTTTCTGCAGAAAGACTGCTGTTACAGTTATGTGCAGAAAAGTCAGCTCGTTTATACACTTCTTCAATACCAGCAAAAACAACGCCTCCCTTTTTTTCTCTCTCACCCTGGACTGACTATAGTTGAAGAACGTTTTGGGACTTTCCATGAACATAATTCATTTGCGGCCATCAGGACACAGACAGCAGGCCTAGCTTGTTTTCCTTCAAATCATTAGTTATACACAGGGCTGGAAACTTTGGCTCACCGGCCAAGATAATAACTTTCCTTTTTATGTCACATAAACATTTGTTTCAGTACTTTTAATTGAGATAATTGAGATTGAGCTTGGGGTGGTGATGGAGCAGTGGATGAGACGCATACTTTGCTGTGAGAGACCCGGGTTCAAGTCCACTGTGAGACACCAATGTGTCCAAGACACCCCTCGTTGCCCCGCTTAATATTAATTGTAGGTTGTTTTCAGTTATTAAATCTTTGTGCAAGAAAAACCCTCTACATTGGTCTCTAATTTATTAATGCTAAGTACTAACAAAAAAATCACAACCTATGCCAAAACCACTCCAGGTACTCCAAGCACGACTTGACTGCTCCCGACTCCACTCCCCTAACGCCCAACCCCTTCCATATCTACACCAATCAAAGCCAAGACACCTGAATTGAACATAAACAATGAACGCCCCTAATCAGCGTGTTACACGATTTTAGACCCCCGTGTACAGCGGGGACCAATTTAAGTGCGACATACATCAAAAAACAACGCTGATCCGCTCTTAGCTACCGTCAAACATATATTATATGGAGATACGTTTACCCGCCAATGTGGCAGGTAGCCTTCCAACATTTAGCCGCCAAACAAAAAAAAAACAAACTGCATTTGGCGCTTGGTGGTGTTAATTTCCAGCCCTGGTTATACATGTGCTGATATGTATCTATCAAATGTATCAAAGTTGCATCTCTCTCTCTCTCTCTCATATATATATATATATATCAACAGTGTTGAAATTTGACGTCTTGGGTCGATCACCACCGCAACCCGTTGTCTGCCTTGTGGGTCGAGACAACAATAAATAAAAATAAAAAGGAATACGCTACCAAAAATTATCTATACCAGGGCGATTCAAATGCCCTCCAACTGGTGTTTGATGTTTAAAAACCCTCGCAATCTGATATCAAAGGGCCCTCAAAAGTTAAGCGCGTTCATCAGCGGTGAGTTTAACAACGCACATGGTGTGCAACCACATTCAGCGGTGAGTTTAACAACACTCAACTGCAGGTAAAACGGCATTCAGAGGTGAGTTTGACCAAAGCAACGCACAACTGCAGGTAAAACGTAATTAAAAGGTGAGTTTAACGCTCAATGCGCGTGCAAGTATGCAGTTTTAAAGCGTTTTCTTATCATAGGTAAAACACTAGAGCATGCTGGATAACGTATTTCTATCGGAGGTTTGTTGATTTTAATATGCTACGATTGTGTTCAATTAATCATTTTTTAAAAATTATTTTTACTAAATCCTCTAAATTAATAACGCTGACGTCACCGTATGGGCGATCCCAAGGTCCATTGCGATTTTCCACTGGGTAAGTAGAAGGGTTCATTAATAGAGATGGATCCTCTTCTTACATTTACACAAAAAACGGTTGGATCAGGACAAGAAATTGTGTTTAGAAACTTTAGATTTGTAAGGTGGCCCTTTCTTATGACGAGAAATGATAGAAGACATTATAAAAATATAGCTTGAACTGCACCAAATGTGCAAGCTAGCAAAGTTAGCTAAGTTAATTGAATTCAGTTTTTTGTCGCATATTATCATGTAAGGTACAATCATAGGGGAATGTAAGATTTTCAGATTTTATTACATAGCCCTCAACTATCCTGTAGAAAATTCATGGCATAGAGACTGATATAAGTGCATGGTTATTGTTGCAGTGACACTAAACACTAAACAGTTAACCTTAAAGTTAGCTGCTCAATCGTTCTCATTGTTTTGGTAGAAAGCAATTATGCCAATAAGTTATGTTGTGTTTGTTTACACTGTCTTAAGTGCACTCTAGAAAATGTGTGTGTGTGTGTGTGTGTGTGTGTGGTGTAGATTTCTCGAAAGAAGTTCAGGCCTTGCCCCTCCTGCCAAGCACCTAACCAGGTGAGGGAAAGTCAAATAGAGCATTATGTCCAGTATTCAAATATGTGGTTTTAAATGTTATACATTTCTATTATTAGGTCAATTGGACACTAAAGTATACTCCTACTAAACGACCCTGTATGATAAGTGTTCTGTGTTACAAAACAGTGATAATTTAAGGCATCTGGTTGATATCAATTTTGATTGCTTGTTTTGCACCAAATGCCATAGGCAACATTGATTTAGCCTGGGTGTCTCCTACATCTGCCACTTTCACTGTATGATAATAATAATAATAATCCTGTGTCAATCTAGAGATGCATATTCTGAATTGCATTGTGCTTTGTGTGTTCCTCTCTTTCCTGTATACAGCCAATTAAACTGTATATTGATTCTACTTCTTCTCTGTGACTGTGGATCTGACTTTGGTATACTTTTACTAACACAGGTGAGCCGCAAAACCTGCAGCTCTTGTTTCGCAGCCATCTCCCAAAAAAGAAAGTAGCGGCCAAAAAAGTGACCCTGGACAGGAAGTGGGGGGAAAGGGTCCTAAAAAACAGAAATGCAGGAAGAGTGGTGGACTCTGCCCATATTGCAGTAAGTAGAAATGCTCATATTTCATTAAGCAATATGATTTGTTTCACTTTCATTAATATTTTGTGATAGGGCAAGGGCCTCATTTTACAAAAATAAGTTGAATTTGTCAGTGAATGAATTTGAGGTAGTCATAGATGGCATTGGTGTAACATATTATTTAATTAATTTGTAATTTGCTTGACATGCATAGAATAGACTTTCTTTTTGACCAGGCGCTCATGTACATTTGTTTACATGTACTACCGGCTACATTGCAAATATAACCTTGCTTTAGTACCACACAGGTACTTCAGTATGCGTGTTACTGAAGTTTCTGTCTCTGCTAAAGGCAGATCACAGAATTCAGATCCAGAGTCACTATTAAAGACAGTCTTGCATGATTATGTAAGTAGATAACATGCTCTTACCTTGCACTACCACCCCTAGCATGTGAATATTGCATCGCACACTTATAGTGCCTTGCGCTGTGTTCATTTTAGAGAAAGTGCATGATGATGTGACAGAATAACTCAGGACATGTGTGAAAGCCATGCTGTGTGCAACATATGTGTTGTTAAAAGCAAGGCCATATTCCAGGTGTCCTATTTCAAAGACACAACTTAAAAAAGTATTTGAATTACTACAGGGGAGATTAATGTCGGGTTAAAAGTGGAAAGGATTCGACTATACCTACTGGAGTAGGACCGAGACCAGGTTCTGTAGTGCAGCTGGCTATTTTATGTCCGTTGGTGGCGTTCCCAAATGAGTGTTTCTGTTAGTCCCCCAATCTACATTTGCCGTGGGCAGAGACAGGTAGACCGACCAAGGGGGGGAGGAGAGTGTTTGGATCAGGTGGATAGGTGGCCATAAAGAGTTAGTCCAGTCAAAATGTATTTTATCATATTTTGTTTTGTGTGTGTCCAATCAATATAATTATTTTTGAAGGGTGTCAGGACTTTTTGTGTTCCCTTTAGAATCCCAGATTGCTAACTATTTGACCACCAGCATCCAGCACAACATTAGATGAATATTGGTTGTATAGAGCAGGGGTTCTCAAACTGTTTGTGCCAAGGACCCTTTGTGTGGAGAAGAATTTCCAAGGACCCCTCATAATTAAAACAATTAAGCATATGCTTGCTACCATTTGTATACTTTGATGCCATTTTTATCTTGGTGTGTACTTACTTGGTCTTTAGTCAACTTTGGATTTTGAATCACTTAATGATGTGGACTGACTCAAACATTTATCCATGTTCATCAGCTATCTTAATGGCAAATAAGCCAAGCTAAGCAGCAGGAAGAATGGTTCATCATGACCTGAGTGAAGTGATTCACAACAGATTGACTTGATTAATCATAATCACAAAAAAAGTTCAATGTTAATGTTTTAATTTATTAGTGCATTCATAATCAAGAGTTTATATGTAGATTCTAGATCATTACATCGTCATTGATAAGCATTTCTTAACGATTAAGCACAACTTTCTCATTCGAAACAAATCCACTTTGAGAACCACTGGTATAGAGTACATATTTCACGAGTTCACACTTACATCAATTTAACAGAGTAAAGATTATGAGTATTTGGCGTGCGGTCCGGGGGGGGTCTCCAAGCTCAGGATTTTTGCCTGAACCCAGAGTACTTCCCCCATTGTTATAAAAGTATTTAGGGCTAGAAGTGAGGAGATGGGGTGGTGGAGGGATGCTGTCAAACTGTCAACGGACAGAGGTAAGCTTGTTGTTATATATACACCTCTTAACTCGTTGATTGGATTGATTAGCAGAGTTTGCTCCACTCGTGTCTAATTGGGTTTAATTATCTGAACGTGCTCCTCCCGAACTTTGTTAATAAAACATCATGTAATGTTGTTTCTAAGGGGAAAAGCTGTTAAGGTTGGTCATGTAAGTTGTGTAGCCCGATATTAGAAACAGTAGCACTAATGTATTTAATGCAAATTTGTTTTCCAATTGGGTGGAAAGTAATGCAGTGGGAATAACTAATGTTTGCTGTCTGCATTTATTACAGGTGAAAAAACTAAGTGCATTAGGCTATGTCCCAATTCTATTTTTCGCAAAGAAAGATAAGGCCTCTGGAAAGTGGGTGTCTGATGTGGTGACCCATCTGCTACCCACTGAGGACAACCTAAAAATTGTGGCCACCATGAGAAAGGCCTACAATTTTGTATTGATCAAAGAAGGTAGGATTTGTGTAATTTAAGTCATGCCTGTTTTTTTTATGATGGTGAAATATTGAAAATTAACATACTCATGCAATTTGTAGGGAACTCCACGACGACATTGCCCGATCCACATCAGGCCCAGCCCGATCCACACCCTCAGGCCCTGCCGATCCACACCTAGGCCCTGCCCGATCCACACCCTCAGGCCCAGCCCGATCCCACCCTCAGGCCCTGCCCGATCCACACCCTCAGGCCCAGCCCGATCCACCCTCAGGCCCGCCGATCCACACCCTCAGGCCCAGGAAAAGGAGACATTTTATATTTATATTTACACCTGTCTCTCCCTGTGAAGGAACAACCCCCCCCAAAAAGAAAGTGTAAGTTAACTGTGGTCTTAGCACACTATGTATGAATTTCTCCTTTTTGTAATCATTATTCATGAAATACAGAAATCTTTAGGTGAATTTAAGTGCAGTCAATTAGCGTAGTTAATGTGAGTAATTTTCAGTGGCCAGTCTGATACACAAAGGAGTTTGTCCTCGCACGCATACCTTTCAGTACTGAACACGCACACTCTAGGAGTAAAGCAATGAGCAATACACACTTGAGGAGAGATGAATACACACACACTCACGCACACATCAGTGGGCAGCCCAGGTAGCTTATCCCCCCCTATCACTGTTCACAATCTGCTTCAATAACCTTTAGGCCAGGCAGTAGGATAATTAGGCTAAATTTCGGCTATGAAATCACTGAATCTAATGGCTAAAGAGCAGTTCATTCCAGGAACTATAACGATAAAAGCGTCCAGACAGACTGACCAGCTATAAGCAAAGTCTCACCTTGTGTTAATAAATGTGATGGCTAAGATGTGATGGGTTCCTATTGGTTGTTAGCTCTTCTTTTTATTGTTCTCAAAATCGCTTTAAAAGCGATCCCCAACAATATTGTTCTCAATCTCGTTATAGTTTATCATATTAACGAGAACAATATTTTTTTATATAGTTATAGTTTTTGGTGTGAATGGCCCTTTATATATGTATTCCGACGTTTTCAAAGTTCAAGGACAATGCTTAAAGTTGTTCCCCAGGTTTTATGAAACTTTAAGTTTAACTTTAAGTTAATTTCCAGGTTTTTTTTACATTTATGGTTAATTAATATTATTATTATTATTATTGTCATTTTAAGGTTGCCGGAAATGTAGTAGGCAAAAAGTTTTCAAATATGACTCCATAACAGGACGAAGGATAAATGAGGTAAGAAATATATTTTTCATTAGGCTGTCTGATCATCTCTCCATTGTCTGTGGCTCATCTGGCATTTCACATATCACAAAATACTGACCATTTAAGCATTGGTAATTTGAGTCCATTTAAGTTCAACTGAAGGCCAAGTGGCCTTGCCCCAAAAATTATGAAATTCAAAACCTGATTATATTTTTGTCTTTCTGTAGGGGCAAGAGGAAGTAAGGGTGAAATGGTTACCTTGCTCTGCATGGTAAGTACTGCTTATATTGGTTTATATTGCCTTCATACATGTACTCTTTTTCCACTTTTTACCATCTCATAGGTAGTGGATAAAGGTTGAAATTTATATTGTAGCACACAACTTTAAATGTACAGGTGGGTCTCAAAGTTTTGCAACCAAAAAGCAGCGTTGAGAGAATTGTCATGTCCACTAGGTTTTAGGTCCAGCGTCAATGCAGCCTTCTACCTGGAGATTTTAGAGCATGGTTCCATCTGCTGACGAGCTTTACGCACATGCTGATATCCTTTTCCAGCAGGACTCTGCCCCTGCCACAGTGCGAAAACTGCTAGTAACTGGGTTGCTTAGCATGGTATTGCTGTGCTTAACTCTCACCTGAACCCCATAGAGAGGACAAAGATAGAAACCAAACCCAACATTAGAGACAACTTCAAGGTCACTATCAAAGCAACATGGGCTTTTATAACACCTCAGCAATGCCATACACTGATGGCCTCCACACCACACCCACCGATGCAGGAATTTGTGCAAAAGCAGCCACACCAAGTATAGAGTGTATGCATTAACAATTTTTGATAAGTCAGATTTGTTCATTATTTTGAAAGGTCGACATTTCTGTTTCCTCTTTATTATAATGTAGTGAGTTGATTGATTTTTTTATTTTTAAATTTTTTTCATGAGCTGTAATCAAGATTAAATCAACACAAATTGCTTCAAATGTTGCACAATATTGTAATTGTAGACCCATAGGGTATATACCAATATACCAATTGGTATAGGGTGGAATAAATGCAGTGTCAAAATTGTCTACAGGTTAGCCACTTGCTCTTTCAGTACTATGCATAATTCCCCCGGTGTAATGTCTATGTAGGAAGTAGACCTTCACCAATATATTGGCAGAACATCAGTATCGGCCAAGCTCATCCTTGTTGACTGATGTCAGCTATTGACTTTCTCTGACTTATCTATGAGAGTGGCTGATGTTTATCTGTTACATTTCATCAAGCACTATATGTATAGGTTTTATAAAACAATGAAATACAAGACCGTACAATATTTTTTGAAAAATTTATGCTGTGAAACTATTGTTAAAATGGTTCTAATGTTATTTTTTTACTGATACTACAGTGGAAAATCTGGGAGGAGACATGGGAGCCGGCCTGCCAGTTCTCACCAGGTGCCAACCATGTGTAATGTCACACATTGGTCTGTAATTCAATGAGTTAAATACCTGCTATGAGATGTCAAGTTTGCGTTACGGGCCCAGCATCCTGCTTGCGGATGTGACTACTTTAGATGAGGAGGAGCCGCGTTACACACTTTCAATGGTTTCACCCTAACATGCTGTCATGCTGTTTTTTCATTTATTTTTTAATTATGATTTTTGTTAAAAGCTGTGTTCAAATAAATCGA